GGGGGGGGGAACAAGAAGAAAGTAGTGGAAGTAGTACATAGGAGGAAAGATGAGAGCAAAGGAGAGGAAGAAAGGACACCATGAAGGAAGGAAAAAACCGGGGGAGTTTAGGAAAGGAGGAGAGGTGGAGAAGAAAATGGGGTGAATAGGAAGCAGGAGAACAGTAAAGTGGGGGGAGGAGAGGAGAGTAGAAGGAGAGGAGAGAGGACTTACAAGTCAAAGAGGAGGTAGTGGAATCCCTCCTCTGATATACTGTCGTGTAGACGAACTGGAAGAGAAACATCGACAGATTAAACAGTTATACGTTTGTTCACCGTCGTCTTTAAACATCTGTCTTTTTTTTTTTTTTTTAACCTCGCTGCTGAAATAAATATGGCTTTAAAAGCACACACACACAGACACACACAGACACACAAACCGCCTCCACAGGAGCACTCCTGATCATGTCTAACACTTCTCCACTTTAACACAGAGATCATAAAAAGGCAGTGGGGGGGAGAGGGTGAAGAGTGGGTGTGAACACAGCAGTCATGATAATGGACTGGGGGATTATTTTCTAACAAGAACTAATGCTCAAAAACTCAAGGAAAAAAAGAGGAAAAACCATCTTGTTACCGATGTTGGGATGTTTCAGCAGACGACAGATCCGAGCTTCTCGTTCCAGCTTCTGGTGATCTGAGAAGTGACAGGAAAAACAAAAAGAAAGANNAGAGTGTGAAAAAAGAAAAAAAAAGGAATTTGTTTTAAGGAATTTGTGTTACCACAGCTGAAAAACAGAGGCTGGAAATCTCCTGAGGCTTCATGGACGAGGTCATGGACACACTCGTGGATATTTCAAAATAAGACTCAGAAAATAACTTTTACCACCGTTTTAAAATGTTAAGCCCAAAATGCCAATTTATTTAGTATTTATTTTAGGAAAATGAAAATTCCAAACCATTATTTGAGTATTTTATAAATCTTTTTGTATGTGTAAACCACGGCTGCTGTGACATGACTTGAAGTGAGTTTTTCCCAGATGTACCCAGTGGTTCTTAACCTGGGTTCAATCGAACCCCAGGGGTTCGGTGAGTCAGTCTCTGGGGTTCAGCGGAGGACAAGACACACGCCCGACCCATATGATTCGTGATCACACGCCCCCTGCTTGGCCAACAACGAAGGGTTCGGTGAATACGCATATGAAACAGGTGGGGTTCAGTACCTCAAACAGGGTTAAGAACCACTGATCTAACCATACAGTGGAGCCTACAACTGCTAAACTCTCAGCACTGGTTGTCAAGAGAGGCGGATTTTCAGTCTGCAGTCACAAACACTGGATGGGAGGGCAGGGGGGTGACGTGGACCCCCCCCTGCATTTACTTGTCTGGAGAACAATAAAACTGCATGTGTCATTTATTCAAGTTGTCTAGGCTCAAACACACACACACAGCATCTGAAGTATTATACAGAAGCACACACCCGTGGACGCTAGCTCTGAGGAGATGACAGTGAAGTGTAAACCCAGTGATTATAGTCTCACAAGATGATAGGAGTGAGGCGGACAGAGCAGTGGAGGAGGGCTGGAGAATGGGAGGCACAAGAGGAGAAGGAGGACAAAGAGGAGGAGGAGGGGAAAAAAGAGCGTAGTGCTAGGAAGGCAGAGTAAATATGTTTTATTTTGGTTGGTGTAGTTTACAGCATTGTTTCTCAAAGACTGGGTCGCGACTCTCAGGTGGCTCGCAAGAGTTTTTATTTTGGGTCGTCTCGCATCATGTTTCCCAGGAGTTTACGAATAACGTCTATTGACGTGGGTTGCAAAGGTTTGTGACTTTTAAAATAAGTGGTTTAGAGCAGTGTTTCCTAACCTTTTTTGAGCCACGGCACATATATATATATATATATATATATCTCATTAGGAAAAACCCACGGCACACCACCGAACAAAAATCTCACAATAAGTATATGTAAAAAAATATAATAACCTTCTAGTTTAAATGACCTCATAATTGACTAAAATCTCGGCCTGTTTAGTTGAAGACAACGTTGATATACTGGCAGGAATTGAAGAAAGACACTCATCCTAAACAGCTCTGATTATGTTTTTTCATAGCCATCTACTGCCAACTAGTGAAGAGTATTTCATTGTTCTGCCTGTCACGCATAGACAAACAAAACAAAAATATTTGCAATAAATAATTTATAGTTTTCAGATCAATTAACTGAAATTTGATCATTTTCCACACCTCATGATCTCTCACGGCACACTAGAGTGCCACGGCACAGTGGTTGGGAGGAACACCTGTTGGCCGGTCAAAAGAAATTTGAAGCCTCGACCTCCTCCCACCCCCCAAACTTTCTCTCCAGCTTTCATTTTTTCTTTCTTTCTTTCTTTCTTTCTCTTTTTTTTTGAGACACAATTATCATGTTTTTCACAGGTCAGAGTATAATAAAATAAAGTAAAAAGTAAAATTACATTAAAATGTGAAGAAATTGAAAAAAGAAATAGCCACCACATCAATGCAGTGTAAATAATGTGTATTTTTACAAACTGCCTGTTTGTATCTTTAACTGGGAGATATGTTATCATCAAACACAGATGATTCCGGAAGAAACATGTCCTGACCATCAAACACCACATTTCCTTCTGTCAGTGGATTAAGCCTCTGGCTCAGAGTGTTGTGAGGTTTTGTTTTATTTTTGTTTTTTTCAGCTGAATCTACCAGATGGCCAGACTGAGCCGTTTTTAATCGGCATATCTGTGTAGGAAGAGGAAGTTCAACGGTTGGATTTACTCAAAACATTCTGTATATAGATGTATAACATCTATTAAGAGAGAAAAAAAAACTCTCCCCTCCAGATTTTAAAGGGATATTTCTGCCGTTGTACAAATCAGCTTGGAAATATATTCTTGGTCTATTCTTGTCTGAGTGGAAATCCTTTGGGGTTTTAAACACTGTAGGTTATCGAGCACCTGACCACGGATTTACAGCTGCTGCGTTCTCTGTAAGGAGCGACACTCAGGTCATTTATCCCAGCTTTATCTAACTGAACGGATCAATGAACGATAAACCTGTAGGCGTGAAATAAATGACCCTGGAACAGCATCTAATGATCAGTGTATCTGTGAATGTGTGAGGAACAGTGTCAGTACAATAGTTAATGAATAATGGAGACGGTCTGATAATTGATGTTCCCACCAGTGGAGGGAGCCACCATGTATTTTTCATGAATACCATTAATATGCAGTTCTGCTTGTTGGATGGATGGCTAGATAACTTGTTGGAGGGATGGATGGATGGATAGATAAATGGATGGATGGATGATAGATTGTTGGATGGATGGATGATGCATGAATGGAAGGATAGCTTGTTGGGTGGATGGATGGATAGCTTGTTGGATGGATAGATGCATGAATGGATGGATGGATGAATAGCTTGTTGGGTGGATGGATGATAGCCTGTTGGATGGATGGTTGCATGAATGGATGGATGATAGCTTTTTGGATGGATGGATGGCTTGTTGGATGGTTGGATGGATAGCTTGTTGGATGGACTGATGGATGGATGAATAACTTGTTGGATGGATTGATGGATGGATAAATAGCTAGTTGGATGGATGGATGGATGGATGCTTGTTGGGTGGGTGGATGGATGGATAGCTTGTTGGATGGATGGATAGATAAATGGATGAATGGATGGATGGATGGATGGATAGCTTGTTGGATGGATAGATGCATGAATGGATGGATGGATGAATAGCTTGTTGGATTGATGATTGATGGATGGATGTTAGCTTGTTGGATGGATAGATGGATGGATGCACGAATGGATGGATGGATAGCTTGTTAGATGGATGGATGGATTGAATCCAACCACAATAAATAAATACACTTTATTTTTACTGTAACTGTCTTTCTAATCTAGTGTAAACTCTAAGAACACAGTACCATGAATTGTTTTACTATGAACTGATACTTTTATTCAGCTCAATGGAAGTTCATTCAAGATGTGAGGTATTACTAACTGACTTAACCGTAAATGAACCCATGGTGTTCTGGTTAGTTAAACAGCGAGGGTTATTTCCCCATACTAGCACATCTGCTGCTGTACTGTAGTACTGTGTACTATGTATTTAAGCAGAGCTGTCCACAAAGACAGAGAGGGAATTTGCCTCTGTAATAGACTGGTATGCAAACATCTCTTCATGTAAACACACTCAGGCTGTGTGAACGCAAAAATGCAAAAATGTAGAATTGCAATTTTTAAGCATACTCAGTCTCTACTAGAGTGCCAACTGTAGGCAAAAAAGGAAATAGCGTCTGATGCGGAGCTCAGTGACCCAGTCAATTAGAGGAGATGTCAGGGGGAAACGAAGGAAGATGAGGACCAGTCCTGAGGGACGGATGGAGAAAGGGCTGGGAAAGAAAAAAAAAAAAAAAGCCAACGAGAAGACAGAGCTGGGTCGAGGAGATGAACATTCAGTACAGCGTTCACTGAGTGAGAAAAAATGAAGGAGGACATTTGGCTACGTCTGCAGGAATCTACAGTGTATGTGATGTAGGAGTGGAGAGAAGAGAAGAGGAGGAGGAATTTCTTCGTAAAGTCCCAGTAGACATACAGATCTGAATAGAGTCCAAAACACAGATTTAAATGAAAGCTCTGAACATTAGACAACACAGGAATGTGAGCCAGACAATGACCAGATGGGAATTGTTAAAGTAGGAAGTACATTGCAGGGTCAGCAGGCGGCCATGTTTTTCTGTGTGATACTATTGGGATAGTCGTAGTATTATGTATGGTCAATTTAAAATTATATTTAAAATATTTCTCTGTGTCTGTGATCAGGGGTCACCAGGGGTCATCCTGATTCAGCTCATTTTCTATTTTTTTCGTTAATCGCTAAATATCCTTCTTGTCCCAACCCTTCCTTCTTGAGTCAGAAGTTTGGGGAGTGAGTGGATGACAGGATGGAACCGTGTCCAACTGTGTCCCACCAAACCCTGAGTGGAATGTACAGTACATAAATGATAGATATAAACAAGCCATTTTTATTCTTTCATTAGATAAAAAAAACAACAACTGTTTTAAGGAATCGTCAATATATATACATACATCGTATGTTGAATATTTTTCAGGCGTTTTAAGAGAACCCCTAACTGAGGGGACCACATCTGTCCTTGTTTTTGACTTTGCCACAGAGCTGAAACCAGGTCACATTCTTTTTACTGCATTGCAGGTGAACAACACACACACACACACACACATACAGGTTTTCTTCAATTAAGACCTTACTAATCCAACTCATTGACACACCCATCAAGGGAAATGACCAATTCCAACCAAAAATAAACTTAACCTGATCTTTGACCTACAGTTTTTTTTAAACAAAACTTTAACACTACCTTCAACCACCGTGCCTAACTTTTTTAAATTATTATTTAATTTTTTCAAAAACATAAAAACGGCAAATAATATTTAATTTTATGTTAAATTTGTTCTACGTGCAAGAACAAAGTTTCTCAACACCAGGGTCTTGTCCTGTCTGAAGGAACGTCGTTGCCTGAATCTTAGTCCCAGAGAGTTCTTTGGTGAAAACAAACATCATCTGGATGGGTCCGTGTATTTAAAATAACAATATAAACTCCCTTTGATAAACGCACCTTAATCTAAACCAGCCTGTGGCGTAGTGGTCAAAGGTTTGAATCCACCCTGACCGTTTCCTTGCTCCATGTTATTGGGTTAAATACAGACAAATATAATTGTGTGTTTGTGCATCTCTAGACCTCAACTGATCCTCAACTGGTGGCCAGCAGGCCATATCTGGGCCGCCGAACCATTCAATCTGCCATGTGACCAGATTCCACCATCAAATAATAATGTTGGACAAAAATGTGTTTATACCGGACTGGACGGATCGCCAGTGTGTTTAAAACCAACACACACAAACAGTGGACACGGTGGGAGACAGATAAATGTCCAATACTTAAGGCATGTAGGCATAAAGACACATGGCCCACAGCTGCCAAGTGCCTGTGGTGCCTTCTCTTACATGACCCCTCCCTCCCCTCAACGTCCAACTCCATCTGTCAACATTTTATACAAAAACGTCTTATTTTAGCTGCCGCAACCAAAGGAACAGCCGGCTGACGGACATCACCTGCAGACTGGGAGACATCAGAATCATCTGAACCAAATCCCACCATCAAAGTTAGAGGTCTCCATAATGACAGCCAGAAAAACTTGTCCATGTTAGATAGGTCACATGGCTATAAATAGGCCCTGGAGTAGAAGTAGAATGCAGCACCACTGTTTGACAGAACGTGGCTCATCCATTAGTAAGGAGCGCAGCACCAGCCCCTGCCCCTGCGCACCACCTAGTCAGGTCGGATCAGTCCTCCAATCAGAAGCCAGAAATTAGATTATGATTCATCTCTGGAAGATGGTACTGGATTCTCTGGCCAATCGGATGGAGAGAGATTTGCACTGTGTGTGTGTGTGTGTGTGTATGTGTGTGTGTGTGTGTGTGTGATTCATTAGAAATATCACAGTGTCATTAGCTGTTAACCTCGTTCACACTGTGACAGTATAATCTAAATGGGTTTGATCCCATTAAAGGTTGCAAATGCCAGAGTCTCACAACCACTGCCAACGTTTTACGTCATTATTATCAG